TATCTCAGCCCTTCCAAGCCGCCGGTCCATCGCACGGGGAGCTACGGCAGCAATTTCGACCTTCCATCGCGACCGTCGCCTTTCTCGTTGCCCGCCCAGGAAGGCGCAGGAGCCAAAGCTCGCCGCTTGAGCGCAGATCCTCGAGACGATTTCTTCGTCGATGTTTGTCCGCTGGAGGATGAGTTTGTCTCAGCCTCCAAGATAGGCCGGCGAAAAGAGATCGGGAAGGGTGCCAGCGCAACAGTCAAGATCATGCTGCGCAAGGGCGAGAAGAAAGGTGAGGGCGCGGCGCTGTATGCCGTCAAGGAGTTCCGCAAGAAGTCTGCGAGGGAAACAGAGGAGGAATACGTTCGGAAGGTCAAGTCGGAGTACACAATTGCCAAATCTCTCAACCACCCCAACATAGTGCAAACCGTGCGGCTGTGCACGAACAATGGACGCTGGAATCATGTCATGGAGTATTGCGCGCAAGGCGAGCTCTTCAGTCTAGTAGAACGAAAGTATTTCAAGGCCGAGGACCGGAACTGCATCTTCAAGCAAGTCCTTCGCGGGGTCAACTACCTGCACGAACACGGGATTGCGCACCGCGACATCAAACTGGAAAACCTGCTCATGACGGACGATGGATATATCAAGATCACTGATTTTGGTGTTTCGGAGGTGTTTTGTGGTGATCATCCGGGGACTGCGCTTTCGGGAGGACGGTGTGGACAAGGCATGAGAGAGGTCCGTAAGTCGGCTCCAGGTATTTGTGGTTCGAAGCCATACATATCGCCCGAGGTTTTAGCCCAAGACCGGGAATACGATCCAACCAAATTGGACGTATGGGGTTGTGCGATCCTCTTTATGACCATGTTTCACATCGGCAACCCGTGGCAAAGTGCGAGCAAGAAGGAGATGAACTATGCCCTGTTCCTAGAAGGCTGGCAAGCGTTTCGGGAGCGATTCCAGGATTCGGCCGTTGACGAGAACTGCCATCCGCAATGTGGGCCCATCTTCAATGCGCTGCCGTCGAATTCGATCCGGCGGTGTATCCTCAAGATGCTTCACCCCGACCCCGAATGGCGATGCAGCATCAGCGACGCGCTGAACGATCGATGGATCAAAGGAGTCGAATGCTGTTCACGCGAGGATACCGGACCGACGTTCGAAGCGATTGATGTGTCAAAGACTGGGTGTCACAAGGTGGCCGCCAGAATGAAAGTACAAGCCAAACATGACCATCTGCCACCACCCGTCAAGCGACTGCCTCAACATCGCTTTGATATGGGCGATGGGACATCTCGCTATGACTGAAGCAGAGAAATGCACGATCGGGATCGCATTCGCCCACAGGTATTTGCATTTTGTTTCCTTGGTTCTCCAGATGACCCGACCTCTTTATCTTTCTTTGGTCTCCCTCTTCCTTCTGTGGACGACTCTCGGCTGCGTTACGAAGTGCTCGGAATCGCGGGTGTACAGAGATGTCCCTTGTTTGCCGGCTGGAGGTGGGACTCGTGCCATGACATCTTATGGGTTGTGTGTATATACGGGGCGTTTCTTGGGAATGAGCAATGGTCCCACGAAAAAAAGTAGCTTGGGTGGTAGACTGCTTTCGCAATTGCTTTGAGCTGCAGCTATAGTGCATACATAGTATATAACAGATCTGCCGAAAAGACAGCAAGGCCAGCAACGTCGGCACCAGGGCGATGCTGGGCAAAAAGCAGGATGAATTACAAAATGTGAATATTTCTATGTTTTAATTTAACGTATCGACACAATTCTGGTCGAATCTCGAATTTCCGCATTTCCAAGTGTCTAGCTACCTTGACCGCTTTTGCCCTAAGGTGCCAGCAAATGTTCTGTGACCAGGGTAATCGGGTCTTTTCCAGTTTCATCCATGTGCCAAAGGGGCGACTTGCATGACAGGACTGGGACGTGGAGGGATGATTGGTGGTGAAGAGACAAAGGAGGGAATCTGTGGTTGAATCCAGCCCGCACGGTCTTGTCCTGCGTCTGCGATCGGGAGAATAGCCGAAAGGGATTGACCAGGACATTTGGCAGGGGGGGACTCGTATTGCTCGTCTTGGAGTTTCTTTCATATGCCCGTCTCGTAATCTTTTTTGGAGCATCTTTTGGAGAATTTGTGGTGCAAAAGGGGCGCAGGCAGTTGGATGGATGGATGGAGGGGATGAGACGCTGCTGCCTTGGAGCCGGCAACGCAGACAAATCGGCCGAGGTATTTCTTAGTGTCATTTGCTCATCATCCACCAACCAACACCAACACCACCCATCAGGCCATACCCCTGGGGTTTCAAATGATTTGTGTACCCGATGCTCTAAAGACAAGAGGGAAGAAAGTACTTGTACATGACTGATAGATCACGGTAGACAACTATTCAACTCCCTCAATTCTCTATTAGATCCGCTGCTTCTTAGGCCGATAACGCCATCCTCGCCCATCGTTTCTCCCCCCCCCGGGCAGTGGTGCCCAATCGGTGACGATTCGGACCCTTTTTTGACAATAACACAAAAATCGAAGGGACGAGTTTGAAACTGATGAGGAGACCATTTTCCAATCCTCACTCGTTCAACATCGCCAGACAAGAAGCTTCTTAAGCCATCTGTCTACTTGGGGTGTACATGGCCGAGATAAACACCTCCGCAGCCACCACCAACAACAACAACAACCACAACATCATCGACGACACTACCACCACCACCATTGCTGCCGCTGACCCCGAATCCGCCCAGCCAGAACACCCGTACCAGCCCTACATGGACGTACAACCGCCCTCGGCTGCTCACCTCAGTGACGCCAACGGGATGCCTCTCAGCGAGAAAGAGGTCGAGGCGCTGGAAAAGGAGGAGAGGGCCGAGCGCGCGGCCACGCCTGAACCCAGCGACTTCAATATCGCCTTCCCGGACCATCTACCCACGCCGCCATTCTTGCATGTGCAGGGCGTGCCCAATTTCCGCGAGCTGGGAGGATACCCCTGCCAGCCACCCTCGTCTTCGTCCCAGGCGCCGCCGTCCAAGAAGTACGTTCTCAAGAAAAATCTCCTGTACCGCTGTGCTCACCCCACTCACTTGACCCCCACGGGGGCCACGTACCTGACCACCACTCTCAACGTGCACGACATGTACGACTTGCGGTCTGCGCCCGAGATCAACCGGCTCGCGTCCACTGTCGCTTCCAGTGGCAAGAGCGTGTACCCACTTGCAAGTCCCGTGTCTGGATGTTTAGATGAGGTGCCGGGCCTGAAGAGGCACTTCGTCCCCGTCTACCAGACCGAAGACTACGGCCCGGTCGCCCTGGCGAGAAAACTGGCATGGTATACCGCCGAACACTCCCACGATCATGAAGCAGGATACGCTTACTCCGAAGGCTTTGTGAGGGCGTATCGAGACATTGCCACGCACGGCGCCGGAGCCTACACCATCATGTTCCGACATCTTCTCGACCGCCCGAACGAGCCCCTGGTGTTCCACTGTACAGCCGGCAAAGACCGCACGGGGGTGTTCGGCGCGCTGATTATGAAGCTCGTCGGCGTGGACGAGGACGTCATCTGCTGGGAGTATGCCCTCACCGAACCTGGGCTGGGCGGCTGGCGCAAAGAGTTCATCGAGCGAATCGCCCAGACCGGCCTTGGGGGTGGCGGCGGCAAACCCCAGCATCAGCAGCAGGTCGTCACCGGCGAGAGGGAGCACAGCAGACCGGCGGTTTCACGCGAAGAAGCCGCCCGGATCTGCGGCAGTCGAGCGGGCAATATGCGTGCCTTCCTGCGCACCGTGCTGGAGGGCGAGTTTGGCGGCGTCGTCTCGTATCTGACGCGCATGTGTGGGCTGAGCGAGGCCGAGGTGGCGCGTCTGAGGGAGAATCTCACCGAGCTGGTCGACGATGTGCCGGGGCAGGTCATGACCATGGTCGAGATTGACGGGTGGACTGCCGAGGGAGGCTGTGTGGATTGACGGTTGTGGAAGCTGTGATGGAAGAGGATGAGGAGAGCAGAGGGGAGCAGGTTCTAGAGGACAGGATAGACGTTGGCTATCATTGCTGCTATCATCATCACTGGCGTGGATCTTGTTCTTGTTGTTGGTTCCGCGTCCCCGTCCCTGGCTCTCTACTCCTCCTACGAGCAAACGGAAAACGAATGAAGAAACGAATGAATGGGCCAGCCAAAAATCCCAGAAGAAGAAAAAAAAAAAATAAAGAGAAGAGGAAATAAAAAGAGACGGACTGTACCTGGTTTATGCCAGACTTTCCCGGAATCGTATTCGGTATAGAAGAAGAAGATTTTTTATATTTTATACAATACCGTCCTTTTCGATAACGAAGATATTGCAGCTATTCAGCCAGCTAGTCAGACAGCGAGATAGATGGCAAAATAAACAGTGATTTCTCCCATTTCCCATCTCCTATATCCTATTGTCGAGTTGTTTTTCTCGTTCCTTAGACTCAGATCCCGTCCTCACATCAAATCAGATAACGAGCAGCGAAAAAGGGGACGCATGTGTACTATAGTATGTGTATGAGTAAAGACACGAAAAGACAGGATCATACATGACACCTCGCAACATTTCGTGGCGCAACATCCTGGATACATGCTGTATCTGTAGAATCGGATCGAGGCTTTTGCTGATCGACACCCAGGCTGGAATGGTTGTGTTCAGCCGCAGTCAGAATACTTGGTATACAAGACAAGAAAGAATATGTGCTCTTTTTTTTTCTCTCTCTCCTGACAGGCTATGTATGAATTCTCATATCCGCTTGCACCTCCGCCTCTTAAAACTGGCAGGAAACGTTCCCCGTGGTCCCGCAGAGCAGAGCAGAGCAGAGCATTGAATTCGAGCGCTGGCTTTGAACGCATTCGACGACGCCACAAAAAAAAAAACGAATAAATATCTCTAGGCGTTGTTTCATCTCTTCCAGAAACATCTCTTTTCTCCGCAGTTCAGCATGTCGATCCATATTCCACCGCTGACACTGAAATGTCATCAGATTGATTGACTGATCAACCTCAAGACTCGCGTCGTCTCTCTTCGCCCGTCGCGGCTCCGTGTCCCCGACTCGTCGCAGGGCTGGACCCAATATTGCCGGCCGGAACCCTGGTGGGACTAGCACCGGCGCTCACGGCGCCCCGTTTGTCCTTCTTGTTGATCAGATTGGCAAAGAACTGCGACATGGCTTCATTGCTCTGCTTGCCCGAGCCAGACGGCGTCTGTGCCCCATCGCCGCCGTGGTCGCTGCCCATACGACGCATTGGCGTGCTCGTACCTATCCCCGTGACGACCCCTGATGACGCATGACCGGCGTTGGTAGACACGTTCTTTGCCGCATTCTGTCGCTCGCTCTCCCGCTCCCGCAGTCTTCGGGTGGCCTCCTCGGCGTCGAAATCAATCCCGTTCACGTTGATCTGATATGGGCCAATGTGCTCGGCCATCCTTGGGTTGGAAACCCCCTTGGGCCCTTCTTCCACAGCCCCTGCGTCAACGCTCCCTGCGCCAGCTCCCGTCGGCGCCGGGGCACCCTTACGCGACTTCCTCTCTGCCTTTTCGTCTTCCGCTTTCAACTTCTCGAGCGTCTCATGTTGCGCTTGCAGGAATTCTTGGACAGACGGGACAGAGACCGATTCATCGTGCGTTCGTGGCTGGAACGAAGGCCGCATGTCGGTGGGACGGCGGAGCGTGCTTTCAAACAGTTGCACAGCCGATTCCGTGTCGGTCTCATTGTCCTGCGAAGATCTCTCGACCTCTTGGCCGTAGCTCTTTGATGAGAGGTCGAATTTCTCCTCGGGAGGTAACTGTATTTCCACGGACCATGCGTCCGCCACGGCCTCGGGGTCAAAGCCTTCCTTTAGGATTCGAATCTTACCCCAAGAGTCCCAGTTGGGCGGTACCAGGATCTTGTCTCTGTCGACGATGTTGTGTTTCGCCACCTCCCGTTTTAACAGAGATTGAATGCTGAGACTCGAATGCAATAGCGTCCTTACATTGTTCGGGTCGAACGTGGCGGTATAGACGAGCGAGGCTCCGTGCTTCAGCAAAACGCATCGCAGCCACTGCATCAGGAAGTCAAACTGATCCTCCCCCCAGCCCTGGTCTCGTTCCAGGTCTTGGATCTTCTCCGCCTGTATACAAACCACGGACAGCGGAATGCCTAGTCCCTCGTCCCACTCGCCCGGTCCCGGTGGTACTATCGATCTCTGCTCAGCTACGGTTGCACTGCTACCGCTCCCGGGTTGAGCGGACGGAGCATCTGGCCCGACTCTCTTCTCTTTCCAGGCCGTCATGATTTCCTCCATTTCAATCTTTGTCTGCTCGTCCAATGTCAATATCACGCTTCTCAAAAGGCGGATCCATTGCCGTAGCTGCCTCGCCCACTTCAATGGGTCCGACCAGTCCAGTAAGATGGTGATCAAAGTGTCTTTGACAGTCTTGGGGGTGAAAAGCGGCTTGAGCAGCGGGGCAAAGTTCGCAGAGGGATTCGCCAGCATGTAGATGTTCATTCTCGCAAGCACGTCTTCCTGATCTGCGTCCAAGACATCGTGGTAGGTGTAGCCCAGGGCGTAGCGGTTCGACACAGGCGCGATCCTCGGCTGCCGTCGCCTGTCGTTGTTGGCGTACCGGGCTCTCTGGTTCGGGGGGTTTAATTGTTCGAGGAATCCGCGCTGTTGGTCGGGGGTGCCGCCGAGGAGGATGAGTTGCTTTTCAGAGAGATCTTTGCCCTTTGACGCGCTGTTGAGCATAGGCACCCAGATCGCTTGTCTGTCGCCATCTTTGCTGCCGGGTCGTCGGAACGCCGCCGTTGGGATCGGAGTGGACGAGGGAGACGGGCGAGGAAAGCTGGGACTTGGTTGAGATGTCGCCAACATACTGGATGATTGAAGTTGTGTGTCTCAAGTGAAGAAATGGTTCTTGACCGAGGACATGTCCAATTGTGAGTGAAGCATTTGGGTTTATCAGTTCTGGATGAGATTCATGCGTAGACTGTTTACACGCTGCCGAGTTGAGAAATCCGACATGTTCTTGGATGTTTCGTTGTCGCGTTTTCTCCGCAGTCCCTGGAAAAAAGTCCCCGTGGCCGTGAAACACCAACTCTTCTAGGTGCGTAGGCCCACTCAGCCACTTTAAGCCTGGCGTTGATTATTATTATTACCTGCGTCACTACTGAGATCTTGGGTCTTTGTCTCCGCAGTCGCAGCGGAAGATTATTGGCAACTTTTTTCGACAGTTGCGCCGACAGTTGAATTCTGTCAAGTGGGCAGTGGGATTGACACTGCAACGAAACGACGACGGGTTCCTCGTATGATATCCTGGTTGCTCCCTCCTGAGTGTTCTTCAGTGGACTAGGATTATGAACGCCATTCGGCAGACCCAGCTTCTGAACAAGCGCGAGTTAGAAAATGCGACGCCGCCTTCTGCCTCGTGGCACGCCGACTACAGAGACACCGCCTGGATCTACATAGGAGGCCTGCACCTGGGCTTGACGGAAGGCGACGTGGTAATCATCTTCTCTCAGTACGGCAACCCCACACACCTCAATCTCATCCGTGACAAAGAAACTGGCAAGAGCAAAGGGTTCGCGTTCCTGAAATACGAGGACCAGAGGAGCTGTGACCTGGCCGTGGATAACCTGGGGGGCGCCGAGGTGTTGGGGCGGCTCTTGAGGGTTGACCACACCAGATATAAGAAAAAGGATGACGAGGACGAGGACACGTACAGGATCGACAGGCTGGAAGCCCTGGCGGAGGCTGAAGAAGAGGTCAATGGGAATGGGAAGAGAGAGAGCGACAACACCGACGACGAAGGCGACAGCGAAGACGGGCACAAGAGGAAACGGAGACGGCATCTAATCAAAGAAGAGGAGGAGCTAGAGGAGCTGCTCGCCATAAAGCAAGAAGGCGAAGAAGAGGATCCCATGAGAGAATATCTGATTAGAGAGAAACGGGAGGAGATTGAGAAGGCAAAGGAAAGGCAAAAGGAGAAACGAAGACACAAGCATCGACATCGACGGAGAGACGACAACGTGGATGAGGCGAACAATAATACGGACAAAGAGGGCGGGCACCACCATAGACATCGGCCTCGAGATTCTGAAGACGCTGGGAGGAGAAAACACCGAGACAGCAGCGAGCGAATAGAAAGGCACGGGCGAGATGAAGGCGACGACAAAAGACAACGAGGAAAGCATGAGCACCGAGACGCGCGATACGACCGAGATAGAGACAGGAACAGAGATGGGGAGCACCGTCACAGACATCACCGACGTGATAGTAGGGAGAGGAAGCCTTCGCGAGACCGCGATCGTGCGTCGACCAAGCGTGATGATTATTGATTTGTGCTCAAATTCTGTGTGTTATCCAATCCAGCATCTTGCGTCGCCAGGGATAGGAGCTGGTTTGTTGGTGAATACTGCTCGATACCTCAATTGGGATTCTCTCCTTTGAGCAGTTCGACGCCTTGTTCTCTCAACTTGAATTTCTCTGCAAAGTCACCAGTTAGTCACAATCCAATCAACAGGACAACCGCCAAAGTACTCACGAATCTTCCCACTGGCCGTCTTTGGATAGTCGTCGACGAAAAAGACATGTTTCGGCACCAGGTGGTGGCTCATGCGATCCTTGACCCAGCCCCTGACTTCCTCTATGTTTATAGGCGTTTCTCCTGGCGGCAGATGATGCCTGCGCACGACAAACGCAGCAACCACTTCTCCATACCTCTGATCTGGGAGGCCGACGACACTGACCTCGGCGATCTTGGGGTGTGCAAGGAGACAGTTCTCAATCTCGAGCGGGTGGATGTTCTCCCCGCCGCGGATGATGAGGTCTTTGATTCGGCCGGTGATGCTGACATAGCCCTCTTCATCTATCGATGCCTCGTCGCCAGTATGCATCCATGCCTTGCCCTCCGCATCGGTTTTGATGGCTTCTGCTGTCTTTTCAGGTTGACCCCAATACTCCTTCATGACCAAATATCCGTGGACTGCGAGTTCTCCTCGTTCACCCACGTTCAGGATCTTGTCATGATCGAAAGGATCCACCACTTTCGCCTCGACATGGGGTAGCAGTCGGCCAACGCTGTTGATGCGCTTCTCGATTGGGTCGTCCGTCGTTGTCATTGCAGAAACGGGCGAGGTCTCAGTCATTCCATAACAAATCGTCAACTCCGTCAGATTTAGAGTCTTGTGCAATTTTCGCATCAGCTCAGAAGGCACTGATGAGCCTGCTGCGATGCCGGTGCGCAGGTATTGGAAACCTTCGTACGCGACCTTTTCGTCATCGAGAAGCTCCAACTCCGCAAGAAACATCGTAGGGACACCATACAGCGCCGTCGCTTTCTCCTCTTGCACAGCCTTCAAGGAGGCCAACGGATCGAATGCCTCGGTAGGGAAGATAATCGCGGAGCCATGCGTCGCAGTCGCCATGTATCCTAGGATGCATCCGAAACAATGGAACAGAGGTGGTGGACAGCATACAATATCTTCTGGTGTCAACAGCATCCGGTCACCTATTTGGTTGCCGTTGTTGAGGATTGATCTGTGCGAGAGACAGGCAGCCTTGGGCATGGAAGTGGTACCAGAAGTGAATTGGATGTTGACCACCTCATGGTGCGACAGAGGGGAAGACGGCGTAGGGGGCCGAGTGTCCGTGTCCTGTGCTATCGATGCCCATGGTGTTGTCGCTCGGAAAGGTGTAGGATCTATCCTGCCCGAGGAATTATTCACGAGGATGATGTTCTTCAAGGATGGAACCGCTTCCGAGGCGAGAGTCGCACTCGAGAGATCAGGCACAAGTGCTTCCAGAAGCGAGACATTTGATCGCGGTGGCTTGTAGGGCAAGTTTGTCTCGGTCCCAATGACTAGGTGTGTAGCAGACAAATGGTTGAAGGCCGAAATGATCTGGTTCGATGTAAATGCCGGATTCAACGGGACAAGTATAGCTCCCAGCTTGAACAACGCATATGTGATTGTCGCGAATTCAAGATTGTTGCCCAACGACACACAGACCCGGTCGCCCTTCTTGACCCCCAAGCTTTGTAGTCCATGAGCCAGGACATTGCTGTCGAGGTCGAGTTGGTGATATGTCAATCGCTTGTTTTGGTGTCTGGAAATGACGGCATTACGATCACCATGTGCCGCAACAATACGTCCAAAATTCTCGCCAACAGTCTCTTCGAGCAAAGGAGGATGCAGAGGGCCTTTTACTTTGGCCAGGGTTAGGAGGCTGCGTCGAGGTCGAAAGACCGAGGAGAAGGTAGGCAAGGCCGCTGCCGGTGGTCGAAGGAGTGCCCGCATGGCGCTGTCATTGTTCTTCAGACGGGATGCTCAATTGGTCTCACAGGGATGTCCTCGCCATCCAAACTAGGCACAATGTGTATTTCAGGACGCGCACAAGGTTGTCCTAACACCTCACTCCGTGGAGAGAAAGCAGGAACAAGCCTGTGTGGAAAACGCATGGTGGAAGTTGTGGGGGTGCGGACCAATGCCGCGGTCATCGGCGGACAGGATGGCAGCTCGAAGCTGGCAAACAGGGGAAGTGGGCTTTGGGCTCTGGGGCTTGGTGGGAATTGAAAGCCGAGACCGGTTGAGCTGACACGATGATCGATGCCGAGTCTGTTGCTTCGCGGGGGCGTTTTGTGGGGTAATGAAGCGGAACTGACATGCCCAGAGGCACTCGAGATAGAACTTTGAGAGGGAGAGAGAGAGAGTACTACAATGGTTGAGGTCCGCTCAATTGTACTCTGGCTTCCATTGTATAGAAATGGACAAAGAGAGGATGCTGATGTTGTCGATGGAAAATGGAAGAACTGCAAGGGAGTAGCTAGCTGTATGCACGTCGCCCATCGTGACAGCCGCAACATAAGAGGATGAGCATCAAAACAGCCGATCAATACAGCGTACCTATCCCTGCAGACAAGCGCATTCGAGGGCCATCACCGTATTCGCCAATTGTTCTGGCGTCAGCATCGAGGATGCATCGCTCATCTCAGGCCCGTTGAGGCGCAGGTGCTGAAAATGCGGGGTGGAGGGAGGCACCCGTTGGCCTTTAACTATGAGATCAGCTTGGCCTCTTGTTGCTACAAACAGCACGTCCAGCCCGGTTTCCAGTGCCTCGCATAGATTGCTCTTTTGTCCCTGACAACGTTTCCCCTGCTTACTGGTAACTACGCATCACCACACATCCATCCCAGTGTTGACTTGCAGCTGCGCCGCTCACTCCTCGGGAGATTAGAATGCTCCTGGAACGAACAGCCCTTAGCAAGCAACATGCAGCATCTCGAACCACAGCTGAGCTGCAGATGAAGGAGGATGCTGACGGCCAACGCCCACTGACGTGCATGTTTTACTTCTTTGCATCTCAAATGAAGCGCAACGTGCAGCCTGCCGACCAGGATCTCGTTCGGAGAGGGAAATTGGAGGACAAACCAACTCATCAGCTGGATTCCATGATTACAAGACTGGGCATGCATGCGGCCTTTTCTCCCCTGATATCCAAATTCGAGACGTACCCGGTCCAAATTCCCGAGACCGACCCAGCTTCCCGCGAGGAAGTTCACGACACAGTCATGATCATGAAGTTTCGGGACAAACGAGCCCGCCAGGAATGGATCGCGACCAAACAATGGCAGGACTTTATGGAGGAGACAGAAAGCCAGCAAGTTTTCAGGAGGATGCCTCATGTTCGATGTGCCAGTAGCCTCCGGGGTCTAATGGATCCAATAGATATTGTGACTGCCTGAACCAGTTTCGGTGCGGAGATGAGAGATATCAGGTCAGAGGACATCGACCACAACTGGACGCTGAAGGTCTGGGCGCTCTGCCAGGAAGTCTCTGTCGTCAGGAGCAGGACGCAGGTATCAGCATAGTTGGTCAAGGCCACGACCTGACCAGCTCGAAGCGCTCCAGGTCATATGAGCCTGGCTTGATCTTACGGGATCCGTATCGAGACAATCGTACTTCTGGAAGTTCGCCCGGTTTTTCTTGTTACCGACTTCGCGTCAAGCATGATTGATATCAATTGGAAGAACAGCGTTATCGAAGCTGTTCATTCCGTTGTGCGATTGAGCGCCTTTGAATCAAAAGTCTTGAACCCCAGTCTCCCCCTGTAACTCATGGCTTTGGGTCCTTGGAAGCCCTTCCTCGCCGTTGACAAATTCGGGCTCTTGCTCGTCAAAGTAGCGGTCTTCCGCGTCTCTTTCTTCCAGGACTCGGTCGTCGTACTCGGGATTGTAGTCCACGGAGTCGTAGTCGAAATCGTCATCTCCGCCTCTCAGAAAGCGGACCTGCATCTCCCACTTCCACCTGGCAAGGCCTTCCTCCTTGTTTGCAGGCACTTCTTCTCGATCTTCGGCCAGTATTTCTCCGTTCGGTCCGCGCCTGTACGTGAACAGGGCGTGAGGGTCTGGATGCCGCAGCGCGTCGAGCTTCGCCTCGCTGCGGTACAGGTCCGCTTCAAGGATGCCAGAGTAGCCCTTTTGCCGACCTTCGGCTTCGCGTTCAGCGGGCGTTTGGAAGCGGCGGACTAATCGGTCGTAGAGGAGCGGATCTGCAAAGGGACAACCAACCCGTCAGTAAGTGGTCCAGGGCCTACCTTGCCCGGGGATTCAGGTTGTGGCACACCTGCCAGCTCAAGCTGAGGTCCAAAATATTCTGGGTGAGTGTCCAAGTACCGTTTTCGCCGATTCTTGATCCGGATTCGATCGGGCATCTGCGTCTCCGTCGGCGACGTGGGCTTTGGTGGTAGAAACTCATTGCCACGAATTGGGATTCCCGTCCCCTCTGCGAAGCGAGGCATGTCCGACTGCTTTTACCGGATTGACTGTGTATAAGATAGCGACTCTAAAGGGCAAAGCAAACAAGGCATGGGGAAACTCAAGTGGCGTCATGGTAGATTGTTTTTGCCCCGCATCGGAATGGCCATATATTTTGGAGCATACATAGTCGATGCCTGTTGTCAATCTTTCATGCCATCAATGACCCTAGGTGATCTATAGTGTCTCGCGTTCTCCTCCAGTTTATAAGAAGAGAGCATCCCTCCTTAATCACCACGAAAACCTATGGCTCAAAAGCACCAATACCGGCAACGTCTCATTTCGAAGCAAGGGGCATGTATAAGGCCATTTTGACTCAAACCTCCATCAGGATGGCGTACCGCAAAGGAGCCAGGAGGACGAATGGGGATTGTTTAGCTGCGAATCGGACACGATCACAGCTATGTCGCGGCGAGAGAACATGAAGGCGCGGTGCAGGGCGTAGAAAATGACATACATTTGCGTTGATCTGTGGGTTTATATCTCAACAAATAGTATCTTTGCGCTCTTCAAAACCGCGGAGCTCAAAGCCCGTAACAGGATACTCAGCAGTTGGGATTGGTGACGGTGGTTGGGAAGCGTTCTCAAAAGACAAACATAAAAATCCACCGAGACATCATGAGTGCTTGTGCGTATGAGGAACATTTAGACCATCAGAACTCTTTGCGGCACCTCTGCAACCTCAATTTTGCATATCACCTCATTTCTGAGCTGGGGAAGAAACGAGGCCCACCATAACCTCGTGCAAGAATGGCTTGCACATCGATGTTGGCATGGGGACATTGCGCCCATAGTTTGACGAGAATATAACGGCCCGACCTGCGGATACATCAGTCCCAGAATTACACCCCGATATATTGGAAAAGGGTGCTGTTACTTACACTGGAGGGTCGAATTTGATTTCGGTGCTCGATTTGTTTCTACTGATAAAGAACAAAGCATGTGGCGCAATGCCGCCCCTGGCAGAGGAGGCGGCTGCCATTCCATTCAAAGTTGCCTTGGAGCTCGAACCTTCGGCTTCTGGAAGTTCACTTGTAAGATCCTCTGGGGGATAAGCGGTGTTTGGGACAACTGGCGCAGAACCAAATGTTCGAGCTCCACCCCGACTTGAAGTTGAAGGACGACCGTACAATCTGTCTTCCTCGGGATCGCCTTCCCGGCTGCGACCGCTGAAAACCCCGTCGTTCTCACGAATTTGCTCCGCCCGCATGAGATCCAGCATGCGATTCCGGTGCGCAAGCGTACTCTCGAGGTCGAGTTGCTGGCGTTGAAAGCGTTCTGTTTCCCCTGTCTCTCGTGCGTCAAGCTGGACATCGGGCTCATAGCCCTCTGAATCACTCGAGCTAGACCACGGACCGTCGTTTCGCTCATTTCCGAAATACACTGGCCGGTATCGATCGACATAGGATCGCAATGAGTACTCGTCGTCGTGCCAAGGTCGCGGCGAAAGTGGCCCTTCTCCCCCATCTTCTACATCTGATGGGTCTACCACTGTCACATGAAAACCTGGGACGAGAGGGACCTCAAGATGGTGAGCTTCTTCAGAAGTTGTGGGATTGTTGAGGTGCCTCGAACGGTCAAAAGACCGGAGGGGGGGTGGCGCAGAGTATAGGTATTCCAGGGAAGGGCGGCGGTATCCATCTGTTCTGTGTCGCTGATGACGGTCGCTTTTTGATGACCAGCGAACATCGTATTGAGACGTCCGGTCGAGGAGATCATCATCTTCCATTGTAATGAAAATCAAGCCATTTTGAATTGGTGCATCATAACCAGCACGCGGGGCTTTGACCACAATTTCAGTCAGAGTGAAGGGCATGCCACCCACATGCTTCAGGAGGAGGTTGCATTTGTTTGACTTTGTGCAGTATACGCTGGTATCATCTAGGAGGACATTTTGCGGATAAGAGTTGATGGGCATATGAGGATCTGAATATTCTCCACCGTCGCAACTGACAATCTCCAGTCTCAGCTGGCCAGGGACGACCTGGCCATTGTGACCATAGCTAAAAGTTCGAGGCTCGTCCTCGTATGTACCGTCGGTCAATTTCCTCCGTTTCGACCTTGGCCGGTCACCACGATCACTGACTGATTGAGCTGGGGAGGTAGATGACTGATTGGATGATGGCACATATGCCTCTGATGCTGCAGCTCTTCCACTTTGTCCCAATCTTTCTCTTTGATATCTCTGTAGACGTTCACTAGGCCTAAAGGCTCTCCGCCGGTTTCGCACGAGGCTCGATGGATTGCTAGTTTGAGCAAGACTCTCGGAAATGTCTAGGTCACGAAAGCGGGTGCCGACTTCCCTTCTTCTTCGTTCTCGTGGGGTGAGGGGTTCAGACGATAGTGGTCGGTCCGATCTGTCATCATTTGCCTCGGAGGCTGCCATCTGATCCCCTATTTCCCGGTCAAGTGCTTCGAATGCAATTTCGTGCTCAACACCAAGATGCCGCTCCGAACTGAGGAGATTCCTGAGATTTTCGAGGCGTGCAGAGATATCAGACCAAGCAGGGCGTTCAGGGGGATTGGACTTGGTGGATATCAGCTTAAAATGTCATAGGGGATTGAGTACGCAGTGCATGAATGACTTGAGGACGGGATCGTACCATGGCTGAACAAAGGACGGGCAATACTTTGGCAAGAACAAATACGGTTCGAGGGATGAAAGCAACACGCAAGTTTCCTCGATCTGAAATCAGGTTGGAAGAGACATTTGAAAGCAGATGGCAGAGATTGTAGACATCAGCAATGAGACTGGGCTGTAGAGAAAAGGTCCTCCAAAGAAGGGTGGTAGTTGGATGTTCGCCAGTGAGAGTGCGGCGACCTTCAAGCGCTGTGACATGTCGCAGTGCATCAGCCAACTCTTGCCCCACGATTCAAATGGGCGTGGCACAGCGCCCTCCAAAGGCCAAAGGCCCGTGCTGCGTGGAAGGCACCACCCGGAGAATTAACGCACCATTTCCCCCTCTAGCCCTTTAGTCCTCTAGCCCTGTAGGCATCCCGCTAGGCTTCAAAGTTGAAAGCCTACGAGCATAACTCTCACCAATGGCGTGGAGAGCCGGGAGCCTGGCTTCTTAACTGCGGCACTGCGGATAAGGACAAGGACAAGTACATATGTACGTAGTTGAAGTGTTGCTTGGCATCAAACTGCCTTGCTGGGAGAATGGCTAGGGATACCAACCATTACCTTGTAAGCTCTTGAATCACCGGCTCATTCAGCGAAAGAAACTCGCGGTAAGTGCCTCTGTCGCATAGCAAACAATTTTGCTTCTCTTTTCTCACTTTCACCTCCCCTGCAGCCTCATTCTACGATCACTTATCTTCTCACATTTGAGAAGACACCTTCGACGGTCGCTCCCTCAAAGCTCAGTTCTTTGGACCCATCACACTGCGCCCATCTTCCTGATCTCCCTCTCGAATGCACCATGGACGAGAACCCAGTGTCCGAGGGTTCTCATCCTCCGAACGGCCTCCCCCTTACGAATTCTGTGGCGGCTGACTTGAACGGCGCTATGACCGGCATAGTGAACGGAGGCATTGATGGTGTCATGAATGGTCCTACATTTGTTACACCCGTTCCCGTCATGGAAAGCTCCAACGGCTACCAACAAGTCCCTCATGCGCCTTTCGGCGACATGACGCTTGCGATGAATGGAATGCAACCTGAAATGTTTGGAATGCAGCCTCATCAACCCATCTCTGCTGATGAGATTGCTTTATACGACAGACAAATCCGCTTATGGGGCATGCAAGTCCAGGAAAAGATTCGTCGCGCGAACGTTCTTCTCATTGGAATGAAAGGCTTGGGCAGCGAAATCGCGAAAAATCTAGTTTTAGCAGGAGTCGGAGTGTTGACCATATTGGATCACGAAATTGTTACAGAAGAGGATCTGGGAACACAGTTTTTCGTCCAGGAAGCCCAAGTTGGCCAA